TTAATGATTCATTAATCAATATAAGCTATTTGATTAATTCCTAACAATTAAACAACCTAAAAGATGCTATCTAGATTTAATTCAATAACGAGTATTAAATAATAAAAAGATAAGTAAAGCTAAACAAATCTCCTAAACACTAAAAAAATTTAATCTAGCTCTATTTTTTTCAAGGGATTAAATGAAAACTCATTTATAATTATTAACCCCTAGTTGCTACCACCGGGAAGTTTAGATAAGTAATTATTGACTTGAATATTTAACTAGCAATAGATTATAATGATTAACCAACTAGCATTCACTCTAATCAACCAATCATACAACCAAGTTCATATAATATAGAAAAACATAAAATATCCAAAAGAATAGGTCGGACATAGAACCCATTTGGATCTTATAATGATTTTACCAAAGGCTTTAACTTTTCTTCAACCGGGAAAGGTTTTTATTGTTTCATAGTTTTGCTTAGAAAAGCTTTCTATCTATGGAAACTAGAATGAATGAGAGAATCCCCAAAATGAATAAAGTGAAACCCTAACTTTTCTATTTATAACAAAATGTAGTTTACGGTAGATGTATAGTTGCCTCACACTAGAACACGGTTTTTATATTATGGCATACGACTTGCTTTTTTGTTTCCTATAGTTTAAAGCCTTGAAGAGCTGATGGCACACGATCGTGTTTAATTTTCTCTTCATCTCGTGTCTTTTAGCTTCTGCTTGTGTGTCTTTTTTCTCTCTTGGAAGACATCTCAACATTGACACACACGAGTGTGTCACCTCTTCGCCCAAGCCATGTTGATTGCTACTTGTCCGTATGTCTTCTTTGCTTGAACATCCACATGACTTCCTTTTTTTGTTTCACATAGTCAATAGCTTTTTCCTCTTGTAGGTCATACGGTCATGTGTCTCCTTTGGTTCCTTTGTGGCTTTGACTTCTTATGCACTTTGGCTTGGGTTTATTCACTCGATTTACCATTTTTCTTATGAAAAACCAATATGATTATCTTATTCTTAGTTACCTTAATATAATACAATAAGAACTAGTAAGTTTAATGCAAAACGGCATAAAAATTGTGTAAATTATACATCGATCAGCAATATATGTCCCTAATGCTCCTTCACGATCAAATAAAATAAGCACTTACGGGAGATTGAAAATATATGTTGAATTTGAATCCTTTTCGATAATTAAATATCTTGACCCATGAAAATGAGATATTTTTACAACCTAATTTACTTACTATCATTTTAATGACATAGTTTTTCAATATTAAGAGGAGAGAATAAGTAAATCGGTAGTTGAAAATATTGAAAAAAGAGATTATATGGAGTACTCCATCTTTATTTCTTGATTTTTTTACAAAATAATATGAACTCGAAGTTTAGAAGATAATTTATTTATAAGGTATTGCAAATCAACTCATCGGATACATTCTCATATCCAAAAAGAATAACAAAAATACATGTCTCCACCGAGAATGCTCATTTAGAATTGATGTCCTAAGAAGGATAATTTATTAATATTATAGTAAACAAATCTAAAGAACGTCTAAAGTGTGAAAGACCGATCGATTTTAAAATAAAAATCCTCAAAAAAGAGAAAATAATCAAGATAAAAATATAAAGGATGTAAATATTCATAAAACGGTCTAAGATATTTCTACTAATAGGCTTTTAGAAGTCTAAATACTTAAAAAATCAAAACACTTTGATAAACTATGTCAATAAAAGTAGAAAATAGGATTGAAAAGAAACATTTATTGATAAGAATTTTTGCATATAATGTTGTAATTAATATTTTGAATGAAAATAAGGATCCCGAACCTAAATTTATTAAAGAATGTTGACAAAGAGATGATTGGCTTAAATGAAAAGAGCAATCTAGAGAGAATTATATTCGTTTACAAAATGAATGGTTTTTTAATTCATAGTTAAAATACCTAAAGATGTTAAGCCGATGGGATATAAATGGATATTTGTACGAGAAGAAACTAAGAAAAATGAGATTGTGAGATACAAAACAAAACTTGTAACGAAAGAGTTTTTACAAATACTTGACATTGACTATGAGGAGACATGTTCTTCTATAGATGCAATTACATTTCGTTATCTTGTAAACTAGATAAAATATAAGAAACTTCATATTCATGCACTAGATGGATGTAATCACAACTTATTTGTTCACTTAAAATGATATCTATATGAAAGTCTTAGAAGGACTTAAGATGCCTAAAGCATATAATACATAGTCTTAAGAAATGAATTCAATTATATTATAAAGATCTCTATCAAGATTGTTTTAGCATTTGTGTTACTATTTTATTTTAAAAAAATTCAATTTATGCTATATTTTTTATGTTTATTTTTTATTTTTCAATATCTACTCTTTATTAATAACTTGTGTGCATGTGGTATAATCACTTTAATAAATATTTATTGAAAAAAGTTATAAAAATAATCATATTTGTTCATGTATTTTTATAAAAAATTCAAAAAGAGGTTTGTGATAATTGTTATATATGTTAATGATTTAAATATTATTGAAACTCTTGAAAAAGACTCCAAATGTCATAAAATTTTATCTCGACCTATATTTCGAGCACTTAGAGAATGAGATTTTTATTCATTAGTTAATTTATATAGAAAAACTTCTACAATAATTCTATAAAAAGCTCATCCATTGACTAATCGAATGATAGCTCGTTTACTTGATATCCAAAAAGACTCTTTTTTAGGCTTCAAAACGATAACAAAGAACTACTTGGTCTTGAAGTATTACATCTTAGTATAATTAGTACATTGATAAATCTTTTTAATAATAATTAACTCTGATATAGCCTCCTTTTTTTGTAAATTTATTAGCAAGATATAGTTCTACTCTAATACATAGATAGTGAAATAAGATTAAACATTTACTACATTATCTTCAAGAAAAAATTAATATGATATTTATTTTACTTAAATAAATTAAAGTCGAGTTTAATTAATTATGTAGATGCAAGTTATTTATCCGATCCATACAAAACTTGATTATAATGAGTTATGTATTTACACATGATGATACAGCTATATCATGACGTCCTATGAACCAAACTATGGCTACTACATATTTAAATCATACAAAAATACTAATTCATAAGGCAAGTTAAGAATGTGTTTGGCTAAGATCAATAACTCATCATATCCGAGAGACATATAGTTTATCTACCAATAAAGAAGTTTTAATAATATTATATGAAGATAATGATGCTTGCATAATTCAATTAAAGAAAGAATACTTCAAAATGACAATTATGTAGATTTATTCACTAAGCCATTACCTAGCAAAGTTTTTAAGAAAATGATTCGCAAGAGAGGCATGGTTTTAAAGATCTTAAATGATGTTTTCAATAAGGAGGGCCCAATATAAAGATTAATATGTACACAAAATGTGATTCACAAGAGAGGCATGGTTTTAAATATCTTAGATGATGTTATCAATAAGGGAGCCCAATATAGAGATTAATATGTACATGAACTATTATACTCTTTTTCTTTCACTAAGATTTTTTTCCACTAGATTTTTTCCTAATAAGGTTTTAATGAGGTATGTTTCTTGTCCAATAAAAATTCAAAGAGGAGTGTTATGAAATAATGAATATTCATTTCATATTCTCATTACTCATTATTCTTGATGTGGTTCAATTCACCATTCAATATCATAATTTAAAAGGTAATGTAATTAATTCAATTATTTATGCACCCTTTAATGGTTCATAGTCTCTTCCAATTCTCTTCAAAATCTTGAACCCAATAACTAGGATTGATTGTTCATTATTTTGAGAAGAAATATTTTGTAGAGATTGAGAAAATTATTTAAAGTTGTTATCTCTTGTATTTACTTATTTTATAGTGGATTTATTTTTCTATCATCTTTCTCTTTAATTTTACTATTATTACTATTTATTTTATAACACTTTAAAGATTATTTATTTGGGCTTTTTTCTATAGAATTTATGGTTATGGCAAATTCTGCTCCCGCGTGTTGTAATTTGGTAATTTTGAATCCTAAGGATGAAATTATGTAATTCTAACCCTAGAGTATTAGAGATTGGGTAAATATGATCCAAATTACTCAATCTCTATTATTTCTAATGGTCAACTATTAGTTGACCGTTACATCATCCCATCCACGAAAAAAATGTACTTGTTTCAATTTATAATACATTTGATTATCAAAAAAAATGGCTTAGTGCTCCAATTACCTCATTCCCATACCATGAGGAGGCCTTCCTTCTACCTTCTTAGTACTTACTTGCTTTCTAATTTACGGACATGACTTGTCCCACTGGACTCGACCTTTTGTAAAAAATATTAAAAAAAATCATAAACATGAGGAAGCAATTCTTTTTGCTTTCAATTTATTAGATTTAGCACTACATAAACATATTTATTCGGAGATATATGATTGTCGTTACCCGACGTAGGACGGGACTCTTGAAAAAATTATTTATTTTTTTACGGATTTTTTTTACAAGTTTAGTGATTTTTTTCTTTTTTATTTATTTATTTTTTGTATCAAGTTATTATGATGAATAATATATATATATATATATAAAATATAGATACAAAGCAAAAAAAAAAAAAAAATAGATAGGGGACAAACCCCTCTATCCGTGTACATTTGTCTCTTGGACCATCTCTAGGTCAACCCTCCCTTTTTGTCCACCAAAACCCAGCGGACTCTAGCTTTCCACGGCGCCTACAACTTTCAGCATCCAACCTCCGCAACCATGTCCCCTACACTCTGCAGCCCACAATCCAAGCAACGGTGCGGAGTCAACCGAACAAGAACCATGTCAATCCTCCATCATTGCTCCATAACTCTTAGACAACCTCCAAATCAATCATCTAGCAAGCCTATGCCTACACGGTAGCACACAATCCTACAATAGTGCGGGATAATCAACCTAACACCCCGTGTAACTTCAACTTGGACCAACCCCATGTCAACCCTTCCTACACGACCTTAACTCGCCCGAGACCACCTAAATAACCTGTTGCAAACATATTACGGTCCGGGACCTTGTAGCTAAACCTTTTATCTATCCTCCGACCTGCATAACCACACCGACCATTCTCGCCGACCACCCTACACTTTGCACGACCAAGCTATCCTATCAACTCATCCCACACTATACATATAAAATCTCGCACCATCAACGAGTAAAGAACCAAAACAATTTCACAAGTATAACAAGCGACAACGAAAAGGAAAATGTAGGAAGTTAGTTCTAGAAAAAAAAATCCAAAGAAAGTGACAATTGAGGATGAATTTTTTGAAATTAAAACAAACTCAGAAAATTTAAAAAAAAAATGGAATTAAAAGAAAATAATTAAACAAAAAAAAAAGGATTCTTACTAAATTTTTTGGAGCAGCGGTAGTAATCCATTAGAGAATTTTCTTCATCCTCATTTTGAACTCTCTTAAGGTAAGCCACTTCTAAATTCATCCCCAAGTAATTTTTTTTTTTTTAGAGTTGATGTTAGTGATGTTCATCACTATCATCCATGAATTTCCCTCCACACTCACACATATGTGTTTATTGTTTTAATCACATAGAAGTTTGGATTGAATTCAAACCTTGGGTTTGAATTTTGGAATCTAGGTTTTTTTACATTTAGGGTTTCGAATTTAGGGAGTTTGTTGTTTAGGTTGAAATTAAGGTTGAATAATTGAAAAGAAGGCTAATTAAAGGTATTTTGGTTATCAATTTAGGGATTAAATCCTAAATTTAAGTCGAATTGAACTAGATTGAAACCTTGGTTTTTTTTTTAACAATAATAAAATTTGTCTACAAAAGCACCAATCTTTATTTGAATAGAATATTTATTTCAAAACAAAAACTATTTGAATTGGTGAGGAAATCGGTGATGGTTTGGTTCCATAGAGCTCTAGCCGCACTCGAACTAATTTCAAGCTTTTAGGTGAAGTGCTCGACATCCGCACTCGTGTTGTAAGGGAACTCCTTATTTAGGGAGGGGTGAGTAGCTGAATTACCCACTATTTATTTCTCTCTAGGATATTCAAGATGATGCTTGCCTTAAAATTGGTATTTGTTAGGAAAGGAAGAAGGAGGAAGAGAAGAAATAGAGGGATAAACCAAAAACTTCTAGTTCATCCATAGAGTTTGAATAGAAAGAGAAAGAGGAAGAAGAGAGAAAGGAAAATGAGAGAGTGAGATCAATTGAGAAAGGAGAGAAAGAGATAGTTTGATTGAAATGGATTTAGGGAAAGAAATTAATTTTGTTTTTGGGTTTTAGGTTTCGATTAAAAAAGCTTGGATTGGGCTAAGCCCAACCCATGTGTGGCTAAACTAAACTACTTTCAATCTAGCCCAAAAAAAGGAAAAAACAAGAAAAATTTAGGCTAGCCTAATTTCAATCCAGCTCAAAAAAAAAAAAAAAAGAGAAAAAGATTTAAAAAAAACCTTGGTTTTATTTCAATTAATCTTAAATTTATTTTATGTATGTTTTATTTTAGGTTTAATTTCTATTTCAATGTTTGAATTTCCTTTACTTTATTTAATTAATATGATTATGGATTTTTATTTCGGTAATTAGATTAGGTGATCAATAGGTGGATAATTGTCAAGTCCCTTAATTTTTAAAGATTGATGACGGTTCTCCACGATAAAAGAGAGAGAGAGAGAGAGAGAGAGAAGAAGAAGAAGAAAAAGGTATTAGAAAAATAAGAAAAAAAAATAAAAAATCCTAAAAGTTTTTAACAAAATCTCATATCTAATAGGGACCGTTGTTAGCAAAAAAAAAAAAAATCACTTTAGTAATTACGGACTCAAAAGTGGATCTAATATTTGAATCGACGTGTCTTTCGATGATTAGTTCAATACGATATCACAAATAAAACTAAAAACTTAATTTGGAGTAAAGAAAATCTTGGAGGTTAAATAAAAAATAATTTGAAAAAAATAGAATTCTTAATAAATTTTAGGACTAAACTAGATATGCTATCTCTCTTAGGAAAAGGATACTTTTGGATGATTGATATCTTTTCAAAAATATAGTTAACTCCTTATCTTAGAATCTACGAACCGAGTGTCTATTTTAGATTCCTAGTTCTTTCAATATTATGAGGGGACTCCAAAATAACTCATATCCCTAGAGTGAATCATAAAGAGCTCAAAAAATGTAAATAATTTTTCGAGAGTCCTATCCGAGCGTCGGGTAGTGACAGAATAATGAGTCCATTGTGAAACAAAAAAAAATTCTCTTTCTAATTTTGTTTATGAGTGCTAAATAATACAAAAAGGGAATAAATAATAAAGAAGAAACTGAAATTAAAAAATAAAAAAAATAAAAGCGAAAATTTAGGGTATGACAATGATAATGAATTCAAAGGAATTATAAAAGATTTTTTCATAGCTTTTCTTATGTCTTCATCGACATCTTGGTAAATAATAAAGGGAATGATAATGAATTCAAAGGAATTATAAAAGATTTTTTCATAGCTCTTCTTATTTTTCAAGGGAATAAATAATAAAGAAGAAACTGAAATTAAAAAAAAAAAAAAAAGGGGGGGGGATTTAGGGTATGACAATGATAATGAATTCAAAGGAATTATAAAAGATTTTTTCATAGCTCTTCTTATGTCTTCGTCAGCATCTTGGTAAATTTCTCAAAAAAAATTGTTCAAAATTGCATCGCCATCTAGCTTCTCTTCTTTCTCCTAGCATCCATAAATGATATCTCATGCTCCGATTAAGAACATGGTTTTATGAATTTTGTAAGAAATGAACACAACACACACATAATCAACAAATATTACCTCCTTCTTCACCTCAGCTTCAAGCTTGTCACAATCAAGTATTTTTGGTTTTGATTAGGGATAGGCAGGCTTTTGAGCAATTTCTGTACCATTCATCATGAAAAGCAAATTCATCATGAAAAGCAAATTCATCAATGAGAGATTCGAGGCAATATTAGCAAAGACTAAGCAACATGCATAAATTCAAATCAAAATCTTTAATTACCCAAAAACCTAATTGAAATCTAATCCTTAATAGACAATCTCAGGAACCGTAACATTTAATCTCACAAAATTGCTATCAATTAGTCACTAGATTTGATTTTCAAATCAAAATCTTCTTCTCCCTTGTCTTCTCTCCCCTTCTCTCCATGCCCCTATCTCTTTCTCTCATTTTGAAATTCAATTTGTAATTGGAATGTCATCTATCTTACCCCTTTCAATTACAACGGCTTCGATTAAAAAAAATTAACGATCAACTAACAATTGCCTTTTAAAAATAATGAAGATTGGGCAATTGTGAACAAAATTGGACAATTTTGATTACATTTGTCCAATCTCAAATACTTTAGGATTGAAATTATGTAATTTCATACTTTGAGTTCGAAATTGCTAAATTGCAATATATTGCAATATTTTGGAGGCAAAATTTGCCATAAAACTAGCTTGTTGGAGTATAGGCGTTTGGCTTTAGTTGATTATTTCAAGGATAGTTCTGTCTGTATTTTTAAAATGATTTCTAGAACTGCTTCTCTTGATGGCTCTATCAATGTTAATACTGATGGAAGTTCCTATGGCAGAGTTAGATGGCCTTCTTCGTGATCGTAATGGAGTATGGATTGTAGGTTTTTTGAGCTTTATTGTGTATTCTACAATTGTAGTGGCACAATTATTTGACATCCATGCTAGCATCTTCGTAGCCTGTGATTTGGATTTCAACTCGGTTTTGGTAAAATTGGATTCTCAAGAAGCTATTTGTGTAGTCTTGAAAGCTTCTGTAGATTTCCGTTCTTATTGTGCTTTGTTTCAAGATATTCGTGAGTTGTGACAGTGTCCCTGGCCGTGTTCGATAAGGCATGTCCTACGCGAGGCTAATTATTGCACTAATTTGTTCGTCAAGCGACGTGCTAAAGTTGATGTCTCGTTTAATATTATTCACTATCCTCCAACTTGTAATTGTGAGGGACATATATAGTTCATGTTGGTTTTCTAAAGAGCTAGCTTTGTGAGGGACATATGTAGTTCATGTTGGTTTTCTAGAGAGCTAGCTTTGTGTTTCTTCTCTTGGCACCAAAAAAAAAAAAAAATCATGTGTTAGGATATTAAAGTCAGGAATCCGAGAAGGTGCAAGCTTCCTTAGGAAGACAACCGATAATCATGTATGGGAGGTGGACGATGCTAGCTAATTGAGTTTTTTATTGAAAAAAGAATTTTACTCTTTTTCTTTTCAAGGATATAATTATTTATTTAAAAATATTTAAAATGTAGGAATACATCATCTTACATTAATAAAAAAAGGTTTGTTCTATTTTACAAATTTATGTAAGGTTTTTATACTTTGTTTTTACAAATTATTTGATGAAAATTGTTATATGGTGAAAACTTTTAAATTATATATATATAACACAAAAGAGTTGAGAGGGTTCACTGTTCACATTACTATTTACTTAAATTCATTTGCATTATTTACTCAGATTTATTTTCATTATTCGTTTTTACTATATAATGGTATTTTAGTGATTTTTGGGCTTTTTTGAAGTATTTGTATCCAAATTTTACATTATGTTTCGTTTTTGTCCCTAGTGTTTCCAAAAGAAAATTTTTTTTTTTTGCTTTTTTTTTCAACAGTTTATTTTAATTTCGTATATAAGTTTTACAATATGTTTTATTACAATCCCGAGTGTTTCTCAAATATATATAATTAGATGTGCATCTACATATATAACATCAACCATTTGCTATTAATTTTTTTAATATTTTAAAATTAATTTATTTCAAATAAAATAGTTTTTTAGAATAACCACTTAGTAATTCAAATACATTTTTTATGCTAATATTATTGATTATTTTGTAAAACAATATATAAATCAAATATACATATTTTGAAAAAATTAATCTTCACGTCAGCTTTAAACAAAAATATAAAAGATTCTTTTCTTAATTTTTATAAAAAAATTTATATTAATTATTATTTTATTTATTCGATGCTATCTAATGAAAAAAAAATATTAAGATTTTTAAAATTTTTAATTAAATTTTTTATTTAGATTATTAAAAATTTTATTTAAGAATAAATGCACAATAAAGAATAAATCTTGTTTTTATCTATAAAATTTATATAAAAAAAAGAATAAATTAAATATAAAATTTTGATTAAAAATTATAAAATTAGATGAAATTTTTTTATTTTTAATTTTATATATTTTAGTTGACTAATAATAAATAAATAAATAAATTTTATCCATAGCATACCACGAAAAACTGATTAGTTAAAATTAAAAAGTAAAATTTGGATACATCCCAGCTTAATATGAGGAGGACAAAACAAAACAAGGATGCAAGAGGCTTAATTTGACCTAAGCCGCCGTTGTCCATCCCATCCTGGCTTGCTTTGAAACTTAACAGCTCAAACAAATTAATTATTTTGCTTCAGGCTGGTTTCACTAAGAAACATTATGATGGAAATATATATATATTATTAATAAAAACACTAAAATAAAATAAATTTTACTATTCATAATACTATTTACATACTCATAAATCACTATTACTTTCACTATTCATGGCATTTTTGTAATACTTTGGTCTTCAACTTTTCTATATTTTTTTTCAACTTCAAATTTCAATTGTATTGTAATTTATCCCATTTTATTTTAATATTTTTTATTAATTACTGTTAATATTTAAATTTGGTCCCATTTTATTTTAGTGTTTTTAATTTCTTTTATTATTTAAAAATTATTATTTTAATTTATCCTTTTTTTAAATTCTCATCCAATTAATTTAAAATTATACTTACTCAAAGATTTGGTTTATTTTTCTATGTGTATGGATTTTGAAATAAATTTTTAAAATATAATTATTTTTTGAAAAATAGATTTAGATAAGTTTTAAATTATAGTGGCATGATTAATATATATAATTTGTCTAAAATGTATTTTTAGATTAAAAGTGTATTTCAAATAAATTTTTGTCGATTTTTTTTAGAAAAAAACTCAAATTAGTTGATTAATAGTTGAAAGTCAAATGAAAAAAAAAAAAACAAAAAGGAGATTGTTATTCTATGCGTAAGGCATGTATTCAAAGACTAGTTATGTATAGCATAGAAATAAAAAAAAATTATTTAAGGAGGGGAAAAAGAATTCACGTGCTTTATTTGTTTCTTTTTTATATAATCAAAATTAATCGAAATTAATTTTGTAATAATTTTTATTTTAGTTTATTAACTTCAAATTTAGTCACTATATTCATTACAAGTTAACTATTTTTATAGTGTTTTTTTTTTATGATAGGCATGTATTCAAAGATTAGTCATGCATAGCATAGAAATAAAAAAAATTATTTAAGAAGGAGGAAAAAAATGAACAATTCACGTGTTTTATTTGTTTCTTTTTTATATGATCAAAATTAATCAAAATCAATTTTGTAATAATTTTTATTTTAGTTTAGTAACTTCAAATTTAGTCAATATATTTATTGCAAGTTAATTTTTTATAGTGTTTTTTGTTTCGTATTGAAAACTACGAACCCACTTAATACGAGTTATGATGTATAAAAAAATATCGAATTGTTACTTTTTTAGAAATTAACTCGTTCAACTACTACTACATTAAGTACTTACTTTTTCTTTATTTATTTTTGAATATTTTAAAATTAATTTATTTGAAATTAAATAATTAAAATTATGTTTTGACTTAACCACTCAATGATTTAAATTAATATAGTTTTTTTATTTTAATACTATTTATTCTTTTGTAAATAAATATATAAAAATTAAATTCAAATTCTTTCATAAATCGATATTCTAATCAATATTAAATAAAAATAAATAAATAAATAAATTTTTTAATTTTTTAAATTCTATTTAAGTTTTTATTAATTTTTATTTTAGTTTTTCAACACAAGCTTGCGAAATACTAAAGCTTTTTTAAATTTTTTATTTAATTTTTTTTTAGTTAGTAATCCATGGATTAACAAGGATAAATTCTTTTTTATTAAAGAAAAATTATGAAAAACATAAATAAGAAATAGTTATATACAAAATTTTGATTAAAAAGTTATAAATAATTTTTTTCACTTTTGATTTCATATATTTTTATAGATTAACACCATAACACAAAATATTAAATTAAATTAATTTTTTAAAATGATTTCATATATTTTATCTAACCAGACAGCGTAGCGCAAGCAAAACAATTAGTAAAACAAATTAAAAGATAACGCAAAAGTACTTGTATAGTTTTACTATGGATTAATTGTTCAGAGTTGTTTTTTTTTTTTTTTTTTTTTTGCTCTTGCTATAGCTAAGTCCCTTTTTTGGCTTTTATTCTTATTTAGTCCTTGTTTCGTAATCTTTTTTTATTTTGGTTCCTATTTTGTAATATATTTTTATTTTAGTCATTAAAGTTCTATCATGTTTGATTTTTATCCTTATTATACTAAAACTAAACAAAGTTTCACTATCCTAAGCTTATTTATTTATTTATTTATTTATTTATTTATTTATTTATTTATTTATTATTATTATTATTATTATTTTGCTTTAAGTGAAACTGTTCCTTCTATTATAATTCTCGTTTTGTGTTTTTTGTTTCTTTTCTTTGACAATTATATTTAGTAGAATTTTTTTTTAGTCCCTATTTTGTAATTGTTTTTTAATTTAATTATTAAATTTTTATTATATTTGATTTTTTTCCCTACAAAGAACTCGCTTTTTACTTTTAGTAAAACTTTTTGTTATGTTTTGATTTTTATTTTGTGATCTTTCATTTATTTTATCATTAAAGTTTTATTATATTTGATTATTATTTTTTTCTACACTAAAATTAAATACAGTTTCACTATTCTAAGTTTGTTTTTTTAGCTTTTAGTAAAACAAAAACATTTTTTGTCTTGGTTCTTATTTTGTGAATTTTTTTATTTTGATCATTAAAATTCTATCATGATTTTTTTTTAGTCTTTTTTTTTTTTTTTGCTTTTTGTGAAAGTTTTTTATTTATTTTGATCCTTCTTTTATGATCTTTTCTTTGTTTTGATCATTTAATTTTGATCATATGTAATTTCATCTCTCTTTTTTTTTTTTTTTTTGCCAAATTTTCAACTTGACAAAGCTTTTGTGTTTTTTTTTTTTCGGTGGTCTCTCTATCTCAATAACAAATTACGGATGAAGAATATATATTAAAAATTAATCATCTAAAATTCAAAAAGGTACCACATTATTATTTTAGTTACCAATTATTATACATATTTATAATAAAATATATGTTTATATCAAACAATATCTAATTAATAAAATTATATTTCTCAACCTTGCGGACTTTTCGTTTAGCTAACTTTACAGCAAAAAATAAGATATACGCTTTGGTTCCTTTTTTTTGAATTTTTTTATGTGATTCTTTTAAATAATTATTTTTAAATTTTGAATTTTATATAAATGAATACATAAAAACGTTGTATAGCTCACCCCGCGGTAACTTGTGGGATATATGCTAATATATAACTATATAGTACAATTTTAAAATATGAGATATATGTTTTGGTTCTTTTTTTTAATTTTTTTCACGTGATTCTTTTAAATAATTATTTTTAAATTTTGTATTTTGTATGAATGAACACATAAGAATGTTGTCTAATTCACTCCATGATAGTATGCGGAATATATGCTAGTATATACCTAAATAGTGCAATTTTAAATTAAAGAGCGTCTGAAATCTGGTAATTACATATTAAAGTTGGCATTTAAAGAGAATTATTCATCTAATTGTAATCGTTTATTTAATACTGATTTGACATGTCGTCATCAGGAGAAGAATAAGAACAATAAAAAGAAGGAGAACGTTCGCGTTAAACTCTCTAGTCTCAATTATGAAGATTTTTTTTTTGTTATGTTAATATTTGAGATTTTTTTATTTTTATTTTTTTTTAATAAAAGGATGAGCTATGTACGTACTAATGTTAGTTGAATTATTGATTATTGGCTGGCTACGTACAAATTTTGTTGTTTAACTTACCATAATTCTTGATGGTCATCAAATGAAGTATCTATGATCACTGAGCAACCTCTGCTCCTTTCTTGTTCTTCATCACTCGATATATAGCTAGCTAGCTAGCTAGTTACTTCTTATTATCGGCATGTATGTATAGTTCAAAGTTAAAATTCTGCTTCTTTCTAATTGTTCTTTAACATTAATTAAGAAAGTACCAACTTTTTTTTATGATTCATTAACTTGTTTATATTTGGAAACTCTTTTCTATTGCCGACTCCTCCGGCAAGAAGAATTTTATGATTCCCTAATACCAAAGTTTCTTTTTAAGCTCACACCTAATAAATAAGCTAGCATCTTTAAGTACTACTAGTTTTTTCATGGATATAATTATATATAGCTGCAAGTATCAACATAAAGCTCCCAAGTACATTTGTAAGATTACCCTTGTTAAGTCATTTCAACCAAAGCTGCTTTTAATGGCATCCATTAACACTGTTTTTCGCCTTTTTCTAGAACTTGAGCAATAATTGAATATTTAAAAGAATATTAGTTATGGATCGTGAATATGCATTTTCAAGGGAAAGAGAGACATCACGATTTTTTTTTTTTTTTTTTTTTTGAAGAAGAAGACATTATGAATATTGCTTCTTCTCAAAGAAAAAGTAAAATCTTCTGTTTATAACAACCAATAATTTGCTAATAATTCACAATATTTCCCATCATGTCTTAAAAATCAACGACAATGCTTAACAAATTCTCCTTTTGTATACACCAAGATATTTTATCATCATACATGATGAAGGAATCAATTCATCAGTCTCTTAATTCTTTCTCCAACCAAGTTAACTACTTGCGGGCATTAATCCATATAGCAAGAGTAAACCTTAATTATTATTTTCTTAAACAGATATATATATATATATATATATATATATATATATATAGACACACACTTAAGTAGCAAACCTAGATTCTTGCATAAAAGATATGAGTAAATATGTTAAACGCAACTTGGTAAAAAACTGAAAGGTTTATAGTGAGATTATATGAAAATTAAAAGCTTTAAAATTGAAACGTAAAGAAGAAAGAGGAGTGGGAGAGGAAGGGGTCCAAGAAAACTCCAAAGCATATCCAAGAGCGGAAGAGAGAATATTGATGAAAACATCCAAGGACCATTGCATGTGGGTAGGCATGAATGATTCTGGCAAAAAGCCCATGATGACAAGGAGATGGGATTTAAAATCATATTGGAAAGAAAAGAAAACGAACAGCTGTTTTTCAAGCATAAGGTCATTTCATGGGACAACCCCATTTGTTCAATAAAGCATGAACAGCTGCCCTGTAAACTTCGTGCTATTGCATTGGTACTTGTTTCTCTCAAATTGCTGACGTCTTCTGTAAGACTGTAACTTGTTTTCTTTCTTTAGCATCTACTCCTCTCTCCCCCGTCCAACGAGGGATGTGTCTCTGCCATACGTTTCTTTGAAGCCCGTTTCCATGGTTCTCTATTTGATCCATTTTAAATCTTCTAAAAATCATCGATCAATTTTCTCATTAAAAAATACAACAAATAATCATTCAAATTAAAAAAATGAACCGTATACATATACAGATGTATTCTTGAAACCTGTTTTCACCCAAATTAATTAGATAACCAACCGTTGCTTTTATGGCTATTGATCTAAATTTCAGGATTTAATAAAAGGTATATGAATTAGTTTGATGAAAAGATCAAAAGTGCCTCATATTTTTTAATACTATTTTTTAATAGATGGAGAGCAAGGACTTAAGGAATTACAAATGTATTATCATGCAAAAAAGTAATTAATCCCATAAATGTCTTCTAAACAAACTTTACACAACTTATGAGAGATTTTAAAAAACGATGAATTCTAACATTTAGAGAATGAAGATAGTTAACCAACTAATTTGGACATCTGTTTTTTTATATACATATTTCCAACAAAGGGTGTCCATTCGATTTTTAATTTTATTTTACCCATTTAGTTTCAATTTTTGGTACTTAATCAACAAAAGCCAAAACTGAAATTTAATTGATTTATGGCGGCTTCAATTATAAGAATTTTGTCTGATTTTTTGTTGTAGGGAGAAGCCGAATAAATTTTCATCAGAAGAAGGCAGAACATGACCAAATACAGCTTATACAAATGCATACCCATACTTAGAAATCAACATGTGATATTATAATTCTATGATTAAAAGAACATAAGAAATAAAAAGGATGAAATATTCAAATTTCCATGGAAATCAATATATATATATATATATATATATATATATATATATATATATATTATGAACATCATAGAGACAATGTTTTTGCGTAATCTCGAAAGAAATAGAGAGAAAGGATTCTCAATTTAGGATATATAATGTTGTGGAAACCCGAGATTGTTTTCTGAAAGACTTTTTTTATGGGAAAGAAAAATGGTTTTTTTGGTTCAAATGTAATATTTCCATCTTCCAAATATCCTAATTTCTATCGAATTTGAAAAAAATTGATTATTTTTCACAATTTTCTCTTATAAATTTTCACTATTTTTTAAACGAAAATAACTATTTTCAAATATGGTTCAAAAAATTTTGACTTTTAAAATAAATTAAAAATTAAATGCGATTTGATGTTGATCTAATTAAAAAAATCTCGATTGATACGAAAATATGTATATATATAATTAAAAAAAAAAAAAACTAAAAACTAAACTTACAGAGACATAACATTTTTCTTACGCATGCAAGCACTTTTTACAAAGTAAAACATCAAAGTTTCTTCTTCTTCTTTTTCATGCTTAGTCGATATTGTAAATTGATTTTTTTATTATAATTGTGATATACGATAATTTCTTTTTTAAAAGTTAATTAGTAGCGATACATAACTTCATCATGATAATCTCTTATTTGAATAAAATAAAAATATTAAATTTAGTTAGATTATCGCAGATGATAAACATTTGGATGCATGATTGATATATAAATTCTGATTTTTTTTATTTTATTGAAAATGATTATAATCCTGACATTTTTTTGTTGGGATAACCACAAATTAAACTCTAACCCATGATGCGTATTTTACAACTTAATCCCCAACATAAAGAATTTTGCCATGACAACCTCACCCTATCACGACGACAACAAAATAGTCCCCATTCGTTTTAGTCTGCTAGATTCGACATTAACTTACATGTGATCTCAATATAATATGTTCTCTCCTACTATAGACGATTTTGACACCAAGCTGAAATCTGGTACAATTATGCTTTATTTAGAAACAATTATCATTGCTTTTTTAATTTCATCCCTACCTTTTATTTTACTTGATTTAAACAGGTTTTGTCTGGAAAGATACTGATGGTTGGCAGGTCAAAACATCTATGGATTTATCAACTTTTTTAGGATTCATGTCCATACATTTATGGGTTGGTATAAATTTCTAGTTTTAGCTTGCAATCAAATGTTGATTGATTGAAAATTATTGGGTATGATTGATTTTCTATGTTTTTTTCTTTTCTTTCTTCAAAATTTGCAAAAGATTAATACAATTTTAGAAATAGAATTGAATGAAAAAAGAAAGACTAGGGATGGGAAGAGATGGATTTAGATGAGAAAAGATTAAAATTTAATTGAGAAATAAGAGAAGCAAAGGATAGGGGAGAGAAACTTAGAACAAAAAGAAGGAAGGAACGATAGACAGAGAGGAGATTAAGATTTCATTAATCATAGAATGAATGTTTAACAATACAATATAAAGAGAAATTTATAATACCTAAACACACTAAATTATTCATAAACATGTCATGTATTATTAAATAATCATTTCAATTAAAAAAAAAAGTGAAATTTGAACTCTTAAATGTTATATCAAGTAACTATTTTAATAAAAAAAAAATAATTTATCAAATGAAATCTTATGAATAGTTTTATATTATTCTTTAATATGTCTGAATTATATCTAAAATAAATAATTTTGCTTCTAATTTATATGATCCTTACGTTCTTCTAATTGCTGGTTAATTAATGTTCAATATAACATATCCAATTTATGAAGATTATTTTGTTATGACTTAATTGGTGAAACTTGTCTTAGAAAAATTCAGCACAATCGGGATTAGGTTACGAAATCATAATAAATTAGGGTTTTTTTTTTTTTGTAATTATCGTTTTTGTTTCTATAAATGAACATTTTCAAAAAATTTATCGAAAAAGAAAATTGAAAATGGAGATAGTAAATTGTTTGCTGTAACGAATGAAACTTAATTTGCCGATGAAGGCGTTAAGCTAAACTCGGAAGACGGTGGAAGGAATGTATGTTGAGATTAAATATGGACGGCGCGGAATTAATGTTGCAGCAACAAGTACACCAAGAAGCTCACTGTAGTACTGCACAATTTTTTTGGACTCTGTGCATAAGAAAGATTGTACAAATTAAAGCATCTGAAGATTCTGGGCCGTACAGAAATAGAAGTAAAAAGAAGAAAATAAAAGAGGGAACAAGCAATTAAAATGATAAATAGGAAGAGAATTTCAAGCATTAGTGACAAAAAATCATGATGAATTCAATTTTACTTATCGACGAGACTGAGGGACATAATCAGAAATCTTAGACCCTGTATAGGCTACAGAGAAGACACCTGAATATCTAGGGAGATAATGAGTGTGAAGGTTTGTCTTCTAAACTAGACAAAGTTTTGTTAATTTTTCCTTTCAAGGTCTTATTGGAGATCGGTGTTTTGTTTCATGATGTCAGGAAATTATAAAAATTGAATCTCTATACACGTACATATGTATTGCATTATTTGAAAAGACGTTTTTGTTCGAATTAAACTAATTGTATTTTTCATTTTTATATTACATAATAAAAATAATATTTTCGACTAAATAATTGACATAACTATTTTTAAACTTTAACCACTCTTTTATAAGTGGGACAGGTAATTTTTCTATTCTTTAAAATCAGGAAATTTCTTACTTCATTCATGTGGCATCAATTCAAAACTTTCTTGCAGTAACTTTTATTTATCTACACATATAACATACTTTTAACCCTATCGGTTTTTTTTATTTTAAAAAAAATTGTGATTTGTCTTTAACAATTTCTTCCTTCTTTTTCATCATTTTTTTTTAATAATTAAAATCTTAAAACCCATATATCAAAACTCTTTATCAATTTGAATATTGCAATGTGTTATTGTTTGATGTTTATGATATTGTGATATAAATTTTCAATTAAAAAAAAACTTACAATAAGGGGTTTGAGAGATTCTATCATTTTACAAGAGAGTAAAATAATGAAAAAGTGAGGAAGAGAGGAGAAGTAAAGCTAGAATAATAAATAAATAACTAATAGAAAAGAACTGTGAGTTGTGATTTCTTTTGATCGTTTTGCATTAGTTGTGATTTCAAGAAAACGCCAGCATGATCAATTATTATCGTGGAAATTAAAAATAAATTCTACATGGTACAATTTTCGTCCTATTTTTCTAGAACCGCAAACCTTGAATCTTTTGCCTTAAAAGCTTACGGTTTACATTACCATCCAGCAAAAGCTAATCAAATATTAGTGAAAAAAAACAAATATAATTAACGTGATTGTATCATGATCACAAAGGAAATACTTATCCTTTTTCAATATTGTTTTAACTTATAAAAATAAACTTTTTTTTCTTTGTTTTTTTAGATTCGAATATTAAACTTGGTATTTAAAAAAACTGAACGTATTAAATTAATGTAAAAAGTGTACTCTTAAAACTATTCAGAAAAAAATAGATTTTATTAACGAATAAACTGAAGTATAAAAATTGCTAAGATGGAAATCATGACTAGGTGTAAAGGAGTAGATAAATTTTGAAGTTCACTCCATTTGGTGTTACGTGAGAGAAACTTTCAAGAGGTTATCTATTTGTTCATATAGCAGTAAAATGAATGGACATCTAAGGTGCCGACGAAATGACCTGTAAAATTATATCATGTCTGGTTGTGTCCATGTGTCGTGCTTTCTTTGATTGAATCTATATTACTTTACCCAGCATAATATTGATTAAAGGTGCGACACCCGTAGATGCAACTTTATTCTTTTGTGAAAAGAAATATATGAATGTAAAATTTCGGGCACATTTATTATTATTTCTTCAGTCTTACGGATTTAGTTTATCACTAGTGAATTGACCGCGTTATCGATTAAAATAAAATTATTTTATTT